TTAGAGCCGCGACCGTTCGTTCAAAAAGCCTGCAACAGCTTCACGGATGGAGGGCGGTTCTTTTTTCTGAACGTGGTTATCGCTTTGGCGCCGCGCACATTCGTCTGAAGTCCGTATGGTTGAAGTCCCCCGAATTATGTTCGGGCGCGACTTAGAGAATGGTCAGAACACAACAGTCACATGGATTCGCTGCGTTGAAGTCCAAATAATGGCGTTCTGGCACGATTTAGGAGCGTCAGGACGCAACAATCACGTTTATTCGCGGCGCTGAAGTCCCAGGGATTGCTACTTGGTGTGGTTGAGCAACGGAGCCCTCCCCGCAATGAAAGAAAATGATGGCAGGGACTTGTGAAGAGGGAACTTGACGGGAGGATTATTGCAACATCGCTGATGCGTCTTAGGTTTACATTGGTCCTCATCCTCCTTCTCCTCCTCCCCCTCCTCCTGCTCCTCCTCCTCCTCGACCTCCTCTCCTCCTCCTAATTGTGTTTGATCCGTAAGGGCTTCCCCGTCCGCCGCCCGCCCCCTCGCCATCAGAACGGGTTGTGCCTGAGCTATATCGGAAGCAATACCAGAACCGAGGTTGAAGCAACATTAGAACCTCACCTGATCGGGCGGGTGGTGAGGGGGGGCCCTACATGTGGGCTGACGAAAGGACCCTGCAGGGGCCCTTCAGGGCCCCTTTTGGAGCCAGCAGGGGTCAAGGGCCTCTTTAGAGTCCTTGTCCTCACCCCCGACGTAGGTCACCCCCCATGACCACCCGCCCGATCCGAGGACGGCTGGTAGTCACGACGTCACTTACAAGGGATCGTGGCCTCGGGGACGAGAATCTGGCAGTGTTTGCGAGGGATCGTCGCCTCGAGGCGCGAATTTGGCGTGATCTATAAAGTATTCTGACCTCGGGAACGCCATTCTGATTTAATGTGCAAAAGCTTCTGGCCTCGGGAGCGCGAAGCTGGAGTAATTTACGAAGAATTCTGGCCTCGAGATCGCGAATCCGGAGTAGTTTACTATGGATTTCGGCCTCGGGACCGCGAATCTTGAGCAATTTCCGAAAAAACGATTGCCTGGGGGCGCGAATCCCATTTATTTGACGTGTCCCAGGCCCACCAGAAATTCAGGCAACGCGATTCGGAAACGGTATCCAGACACGCCAGAATCCAGAGGCCATGGCCTAACCTTTTGGGTCTGAGCTAGGCCAGACGCTTGTCCGCAGCGGTGGTCGTTGATTCGTTCGTTCGTTCACTCGTTCCTCCTCCCCCCTCCTCCTCCTCCTCCTCTCCTCCTCCTCCTCCTCCTCCTCCTCCTCTCCTCCTCCTCCTCCTCCTCCTCCTCCTGCTCCTCTCCTCCTCCTCCTCCTCCTGCTCTGCCTGCCCTCCTCTCCTCCTCCTCCTCCCCTCTCCTCCTCTCCCCCCCCCCCTCTCCCTTTCCTCCGCTCCTCCTCCTCCTCCTCCTGACCCCTCCTCCTCCTCCCTCCCCTCCTCCTCCTCCTCCTCTCCTCCTCCTCCCTCCCTCTCCTCCTCAACCCTCCTCCTCGTCGTACCTCCTCCTCCTCCTCCTCCTCCTCCTCCTCCTCCTCCTCCTCCTCCCTCCTCCTCTCCTCCTCCTGCCTCCTCCTCCTCCTCCTCCTCCTCCTCCTCCTCCTCCTCCTCCTCCTCCTCCTCCTCCTCCCCCCGCCCTGCCTCCCTCCTCCTCCTCCTCGCCGCGCGCGGCGGCTCCCCGAGCGCGCGGGGGGAGCGCGCGCGGGCCCGCGGGGGCGTGCAAGGCCCAGGGGGCAGACCACCGCGGGCGGCTTTAGGCCGTCTTCCGTCTCGAGGGGGGGGGGCAGCGCTGCCAAGCCCCGCGGGCCGCCAGAGAACGACTCGGGAAAAAGTGCAAGGAATCCGCTCTGCAAAAACGATGGCGCGTGCCCCAGGAAAATGTGATGCGAGGCCCGGCTGGGTTGAGCAGTCCCGCTCGGGCAGATAAGATTCGGCGCTCCCAGGGCCACGTCCATTGAGGAAGTACACTGGCTCCGCGTTCCCAAGGCTACGACTCATCGAGCGGGAGCCCTTGTCGTTGCAGTTGAGCATTCACCCACTTGATTGAATTGCCAGGAAGTAAGTCTTCAGCAAGAGCACCATTCTTGAGTTTCTGGACCTCTCTGGACAGTGCGTCTCGGAGTAAATTGCAGGGAATATCGAGCGGGAGCCGTTGTCGTCGTAATTGGGCATCCACCAACTTGAGTGAATTGCTAGAAAATCTCGAGCGAGACCGCCGTTCCTGAGTTTGGGGGAATCTCTGGCCAGGGCCTCTCGGAGTGAATGTTGAAAAAGCATCGAGCGGGAGCCGTTGTCGTCGCAGTCGGGCCTCAACCGATGTGATTGAAGTGCGGGGAACTCTCGAGCGAGTCCGACGCTCCTGAGTTTCGGGGCCTCCCTGGCCAAGGCCTCTCGGAGCAAATCGTGAGGAAGTATCGAGCACGAGCCCTTACCGTCGTGGCTGAACCTCCGCCAACTTGATTGAATTGCGAGGATGTCTCTAACGAGAGCGCCGTGCTTGAGTTCTTATCCTCTCTGACCAGGGCGTCTCGGTTCAAATTGTGAGGGAGTGTTGAGCGAAAGCCAGTGTCGTCGTAGTCGGAATTCCAACAGCTTGATTGACTTGCAAGGAAGTTTCAACGAATACGCATTTCCTGACTTTGGGGCCCTCTCCGGCCAAAGGCCTCTGGGAGTAAACGCTCTCGCCTCGCCGCCGGCTACATTTCCTTTGAGGTTGATGTTCACGCTCAAGCGCTTCGGGGTTGCGCCCGAGCCGGCCTCCCAGCAACAACAGCGCTCCCGCGCAAGAGTTCCTAACCATTTACTCCGAGAGGCCCTGGGCAGAGGGGGCCCGAAGCTCAGGAAGGGCGCTCTCGCCTAAGCCGCCCTGGCACTGGAGCACCGCAGGGGGGTCCTTCAGAGCAGTCTTGCCGCTGCCTGCGGATGCTGGAGCGGCTTTTTCGCTCGAGAGTTCTCCGCAATTTAGCACCACAAGGGGGCCCTTCGGAACCAAGTTGCTGCTACTCGCGGATGCCAGAACGGCGTTTTCGCGTGAGACTTCTTCACAATTCAGCACCACAAGGGGGGTCCGTCAGAGCATGTTTGCTGCTATTCGCGGATGCCGGAACGGCCGTTTCGCTTGAGATTTCTGCGCAATTCAGCAGCACAGGGGAATCCGTCAGAGCAGTTTTGCCGCCGCTTGCAGGAGACCCCCGGATGCTCCAGGGATCTGTGTTCGGGAAGCGTGTTTCGGCCCTCCCGCCCCAGGGAGGCCCCAATGGGCATGTTCTGTATCGAGAGATGTGTTCGGGAGCGCTTTTCTGCCCCTTCGCTCCCAGAAGGCCCCAGGACATATTTTTCTGCATTGGGAAATGTGTTCGGGGAGCGCTTGTCGGTCCCTCGCCTCCAGGAGGCCCCAGGATGCACTTATCTGTGTTGGGATATGTGTTCAGGGAGTGCTTTTCGGCCCCCCGCAGGCTTCACCCTCATAGGCTTCGCCGCCTTTTTCCCGAGCATCGAACCCTTCGTGATTCACGTATGTTATTGAAGATTGCCTCTCGACTGGGGCTCGAATCCTCAGTGTTGTACGCATGCTCCTTTACATTGCCCCTCTCATAAGGGGCTCGAATCATTGGTGCTTTACGTATGTTTTTACGGCTTGCCCCTCTCATCGGGCTCGGGTACTTCGTGTTTCGAATCCTCGCCGCCCCCCAAAAGGCGCACTGATGTTTTATGTGCTGCGCGAGCTCAAAGTGGGAAGGTGCCTCGGGAGAGGTGTTGGTTCGACCTCCTTGGGCGGGAGATCTGGGTGTGGGCGTATAGCCCCCATGTTTCATATAGTTCCCCCAAAATGGGGTGGCATCATGATGGATGCACGTGCGCACGTGGCACGTACAAGCATGGCGCATGATGGTAAAAAAATGATTGTTGCTTTTGGGGGGGCCGGTTTGGGCGCGCCCCCGAAACACTTGAGCATAAGGTTCAGTTTCAGAGGAACTGCAGCCGGAGCCGAGGCAAGAACGGCAGAGCGCATGAAGGGGGTCCAGCAGTAAGAATCAATGAGCATCCAGCAGCAGCAACAACCAGAAACGTTGTCGGGGGTATCGAGGATTTCGTCGGAGGTTCTCGGACCCCCCGACCAGTGCGCCGTGAAAGATTACGACAGGCGTTTCTGCGATCACGGCCAGCGGTTCTGCCTTGTTTCGCGCCCCCAGACCCTCAAAGATTGATCCGGCTCTAGACATGTGCCGTCGTCGTTTTCTAGTCCAAGACGTTGTGGTGCTTCATCGCATCGGATCCCCAGGGATGGAATCGAACGGTTTCGGAAGTGCGTTGTGGTGTTCGGATTGTTGTTGCTCTCGGAGGTCTTCGCACGCTCTCGGATTCTCGGGGAGGCTTAAGGAGGGTAAGGCCATCCCTCCTCCCTTCTCCCCGCCCTCCTGCAGGACCGCTCTTGCTGCTGACTTGCTCTCTCGTTGTGCACACCGCACACCTTCACTGGCCCGTGCTGCAAATGTGCTTTATTACACCGTGCCCGTGCAGAACTATTGAGTTGTCTCTAAGATTCTGCTAGCTGCAGCGCCGCGCACTGCTGACAGGCCATCGGCTTCAACAGCTTTGCAATCCAACGACCCGTCCTGCTCCTCCTCCTCCTCCTCCTCCTCCTCCTCCGCCTCCTCCTCCTCCTCCTCCTCCTCCTCCTCCTCCTCCTCCTCCGCATGCTCCTCCTCCCTCCTCCTCCTCCCTCCTCCTCCTCCCCCTCCTCCTCCCCCTCCTCCTCCTCCTCCTCCTCCTCCTCCTCCCTCCTCCTCCTCCGCCTCCTCCTCCTCCTCCTCCTCCCCCTCCTCCTCCCCCTCCTCCTCCGCATGCTCCTCCTCATGCTCCTCCTGGCTCCTCCTGCTGCTCCTCCTCCTCCCCCCAGCTGCTGAGCTCGGCAAGCTGGCGCGGAGCCGGAGGCCTCTGGCTGGGCGACCGGGGGAGGAGCCGCGGCGGCAGAAGGGGCCGGCCATGCCGAGCTTCCACGGCAGAGCCCCCTCGCGGAGGCGAGGTGCCGAGGCCGGAACGGAGGGCGGAGCTCGGGATCGGGGGCCTCGAGACGGGGGTCAATGCAAACGGGGGTCAGCCAGGGCACCGGATCCTGCAGGATCCTGCAGGGCAAGGGTCGCATTGACCCGGGCTTGGGTGCGGGATCCTGCAGGATCTTGCAGGAGGTCCTTCGCATTGACCCGGGTTTGGGTGCAAGATTTTGCAGGATTTTGCAGGCCTGATTAACCCGGGTTTGGATTGACCCGGGTCAGAAGATCCCCGACGGGAGCTCTGGATGGAGCGACCGGGGCGGGGATCGAAGAGCTCGAACGGGGGACGTCGGCTTCTTGCCTCGCCCGGCGTTGCTGCAGGCCTCGGGCCAGAGGCCCCTGGAGATCCGGCCAAGAGAATCAAGTCGGTTACTTTCTACGAAGCGTACGAGGAGGAGGAGGAGGAGGAGGAGGAGGAGGAGGAGGAGGAAGGCCCCAACATTCAGGTGCCGCGAGAAATGGCAGAGGGTGATCTCCCCCACGAGTCGATCGGGCTCCTCCAGGCAGGGCCTGCATGTGTGGGATCGACAGAGCTCTGGCCACGATCTCTCACGGCGCCGCCAGTTGTTCACATCGCTGGCTGTCTATGGACCTAGCCATCAGGCGTGACGATGATTGTTCGCGACGTAGGGCCACCAAAATTCCCGGCCCCGATACAGGGGACCAGAACTGTTCATCCCGAGTGACGGCGGCCTGCCATCTAGCGCGTCGTTTGTGTTGCGAAGCTGGCGGGAGGGCAGGCAGACGAACGGTCCTCTTACTGCAAGGTGGCAGCAGAGTGGAAGAAGAGGACCAGCGTTGCGCGTGCCATTCCTCGCTTCTTGCGGGTTGCTGACGGGAGTGTTGCCTCAATCATTTCCCATCACGAAAAATCGCCACGAGCGTTGTTTTATTACCCTCTGCCTCCAGGAGTCCGTTTCGGGCCGCAGGACATTCGAGAACGACCAGGACTGGGACAACGAGATTCGGGGAAGAGGTCGGGCGGTCCAGGGGCCACCGTTCCAGCTCGAAGGGCCAGCGCACCAGCGAACGCCTCGACTGTGTCCGCAGCGCATGGAGGGACGCTTGTATGTTCGTCCTCGCCACTTCGACCGGGGAAGGCAGCAGGGCAGCTTGGCCACATGCGTCCAGTGAGACCGATCCTCTGGTACTGCACGGCAGCGCAACCATTGGGGGGACTTGTTTCGCAGGGCAGTCTGCGAAGTGCCCGCTTCTTGAAAGCGGCAGGCATGGCTCGCGTGTTGAGTTCGGAGATGTTTGCCCAAGTTGGGGCGCAGCGTGGCACATCTCAATTCCAAACATATTCAGAGAATGGACGACGGTCCCTCATAATATGACTTCCTCTTCCATGATCCCGCCCTTCCTTTTATTTCCCATCTTGACTGGGTCCAGATCCTACCCGCATCGCTTGACTTGATCATCCGCGCTCCCCGCCATTACGCTCCCACCATCCTTCGTGATACGTCGCGCATCTAAAGTTGCATCAGTTCGACACCTGGCAAAAATTGCAGTCAGCATATTGTGCGCAGATAGATGGAGGTCCTCGCCCCACGTTGGCTCCAGCCCGAGAAGCAGGACATCCCATTCAGAGGTAGGCACGTGAGCAGGAACTGGCGAATCCCCATGCTGTCCAGCAGACACATGACCGATGATCGTTGGACTTGCATCCCTCCCCCCCCCGCAGAGTCCATCCCACCACAAGTCCCCATTAGACTTCTCTCCTGTTGCAGCCCGAGGCTGGGCAGGGGCTCAGACTGGGAAGGTCGACCACTGGGTACGGCCGAGGGCGTCGCACGCCAGGGGAGTAGTGGAATTGCCCCGGGCCGGCTCGACGATCGGAAGACATCACGGGTGCACACGGAAGCTGCTCAAGCCGAAGAGGATGCGTGGCGAAGGGCGGAAGGGGGAGCTCACGAGAGGACGAGAGGGAACTTGTGAAGAGGGGGTGAAAGAACGGCAGGGTAGCGCTCTTGTTTGCTTGATCCGTGTGCCAGCGATGGCTGCCTGAGGAAGTGCTTGAAACCCGCAGAGTTCGAGCAGCTGAAGGACACGGGCCGTGTTAGGAGAGTGCGGAGGAAGAGGTGGCGTTTCGTTGTTGGAGAGAACTGGAAAGGATCCGAGGGGAGAGGGAGGAGAGTCGAAAAAAAGCAGGAGGAAGCAGGTGGTCTTCGTCGCAGGAAGGCAGGAGGAAGCAGGTGTTCTTCCTCGCAGGAGTCTGCGGCGGCTGCGTCGTGTCCAAAATTGTGGCTTAATATGCTTCATTGGTCCCAGGTAGTCTGTAGTCCTGCGCAGTGGCCGACTGAGGCTTGATTTTACTATTGAGGCTATGCTCTTGTTCCCCAACAACTGCCTCCGACAAGCGCGAACGACATGTCCCCATGCAAGAAGTCCAGGTACGACGGCAC